GACCCGTCCTGTCGTTTTGGACACAGCCATTAACTCCGCCCTCCAAAAATCTGTTGACATTAACTCCGCCCTCCAAAGCCAGCGTTTGTGTTAGCATGGCTAATAATAGCAGAAGCTCCGTTGTACAACCATATGAGACCCAGAGGCAGAGTCGTGGTCCCAGCTTCTTTTTTTTCTCTCCCTCCTCTGCTCTGCGCTCACTCTGCATGCTGTTACCAGAGCAGGGAGCAGCAGCAGTGAAAATACCTCAGAAACTAGAACAAATAGGCTTTAACAAGGTTTTAATAAGCTAAACAATAGAGCTACATGAGAAAATGTGTTCATAACGAATGAAAAAAAATTAAATTGTATATGTCCGTGCCGATCTTAAACCCTGGTCTCCCACTCTCTGGTCCAACACTCTACCCATTGCCCTGTTGGAGGCTTGTTGTGAAATGAGCTACACATTACACAACAACAGTGACGGCTTTTTATACTGAGGAGGAGGAGCTGGAGGCTGCTAGGTAAGGGGCTGAACGCAGGTTCTGGTGGGTTGTCGTACGGCTTGTGACATCACAAAATGACGGAAGTATAAAACTTGTCGTTAATATACATTAAAAATACATTTACTTACAGTAAATATGCCCCTGGGTGCATTTTTTTGGTCCTAGGACTGTTTTTTTAAGAAGTACATACCCAAAGTTGAGTAAAAAAGGCTTTAAAAAGTGAATTTTGCATAATAGGACCCCTTTAAGAAAGTTGGAATAATATATGATTTAAACCATTTTGTCTCATAACTGCATATTTTCTTTTGAAGTTGGGTCAGCCAAAGTGAAACAGGAAGTGACATCAGAGGGGAACTCTTTAACAAAGAAAACTCTGGTCTTTGTTTAATGGAACAATATTATTTGAACTCTGACTCAAAATAATGTAAAGAAACATCAGATTCTTCTCTACAGTCGGTTGTAGCAACGCTCTGTTCACATGCAGACATTCCCCTGCGACATCACTTCCTGTTACTTTACAGGCAAATATCTCAACAACTGTTCATCTCAGCGACATGAAATTTTTTTTGCAATATTTTATCAATGACATCTTTTCAAAAATGCATTCATATGTATTACAAAAAATTGACGTCACAGGCACTTTAAAGTGCAAAATATTTGTTATAACATAAATGCATTTTTGGAAAGATAACACTGACAACATACTACAAAATTATATTCACGCCGCTGAGATGAACAGTTAATGAGATATTTGCATGTGCACTAACAGGAAGTGATGTCAAAGGGGAATGTCTACATGTAAACAGAGCTAAGCTAAAATACTCTACAGCCCAGACGGTGGAAAGGAATCTGATGTTCCAGATTATTCTGAGACTCTATCAGACAAAGAGAGTTTAAATCATAATGTTTCACTAAACAAAGACCAGAGAGATCTTTTTCTTAAAGGAGTTCCCTTCTGATGTCACTTCCTGTTTCCTTTTTGTCGAGCCAAGTTCAAAAGAAAATATGTCAGTTATGTGTCCAAATGTGTAAAAAAATCACGTGTGGTATACCAAGTTACTTAAACAGAACAAAGTTTCTTTGACTTTTTGTTTGTGAAGGATAAACACGTCGCAAATGCTTTAATGTGACATCATGAGGGGGCGGAGTCAGTCCATCAGTGATGTAACATGTGGCTGAAGAGGAGCAGGAAGAAGCTGAGCTCAGCCTCAGAGCTCACCTTGTCAGGTGAGACGGTCGACTCCTCGCTGGAGGCGGACGATTCGCTGACGCAGGGCTCGACGTTCAGCTTCTCGTCTCGGCTGGTTTCGTCGCTGCAGGACGCCGGCGGTGGCGGCGTCTCCTCCACGGCGGCGTCTCCTTCGGGCAGGGCAGCCTCCGAACTTCCTGGTTCTGCACCTGAAGACACACAGAACAGACCAGTTCTGATCCACAGGTACCTGACACACCGAGGACCCCGGGTCGGCGTCCAGACTCACCGTCGGCCCCGCCTCCCGCGTCCTGTCCCGTCCACTTCCTGTGCAGCTCGTCCAGCTCAGCCGGGGTGGGCAGCTTCTGACGCAGCGGTTTGATGTTGAAGGCCTGAAATACTTTCTTATCCTTCTCCAGCTGCTCCTCGCCCACCAGATCCAGTTCTGGTGCCAGTCTGGTTTCTGCCGGGGCAGCGGCGGCGGCGGCGGGGTCCTCGGCGACGGGGGACGCCGCCGGCTCCAGCGCCATGGTCTCGGCCTTGCGGATGCACTCCAGCTCCAGCTGGATCTGCTGGTACTTGAACAGCAGGTCCTCGAAGCTCTCGTCCACGCTGGTCTCGGGTCTGGGAGGAGGTTTCCTGACCCAGATCCTCCCCGGCTGCTTCTCTGAAGGGTCCGATAAGAAAAACTGAACATTTTTTAACTTCAGGTCAGAAGAAATGAAACATCATTTAGATCTTTTCCAACAATTAAATCAAAATTTCTCAACTAAACGATGAAAAATCAGATTATTATTATTAATAATAATAATAATAATAATAATAATAATAATAATCTCAGAAAATTAATTCAGAAAATTAAAAAGGTTCTGATCAGATGATCATTAGCAGAACTCCAGCTGGTTCTGATTTGAACTGCACCCTGTCACTGTCAGACCGGTTCGGGCTCGGTTCTAACGGAACCAGGAAAGGATACTTTTCTTCGCTGGGGAGCAGTGCATGTCCCCGGGTCCGGGTCCGGGTCCAGGTCCAGGCGGTCCGAACCGACCCGGGAGATTATTGTTGTTACCCCCCAGGGCACCTCGGGACCAGGACCCGCGTCCACCGTTCGGAACCCGGTGCCTGAACCGTCCCAGGGCTCCGTGGCTCCGCTCCCAGAAATTGGACCGCGGGTTCGGCTCACCGTGTAGCACCGGAGCCGGGGGCATGGGCATCCCGAGCGGAGCCGGCGGAGCGGGAGGCCGGTCGGAGAGGTTCGGCTCGCACTGCTGCCTGAGGTTCGGGGGGAACGGGCCGTGGAGGTGAGGGCCGGGGTTGTAGGGCATCAGGAGGCGAAAGTCCGGCGGGCGGAGGCCCAGCAGCGGCCGCAGGTTGTGCGGATGTTGGTGCGGATTTCTCCGCCGGACTCGGACTCTGCCGCGGGGCCTCCTCCCATCCCCCAGCCGGACGGGAACGCTCTCCTCGACCTCATCGTCGCAGATTTCTCCGTCTTCCAGCTCCCCGTCTTCTACCGGGGACCGACGGGCTGTGTTCGGATCCATGTCGGGGCGGCCACAGGAACCGGTACCGGTTCCCTGCTGGCTGTGGAACGGTTGGGTTCTCGCCTGGTTCTTCCAGTCTCTGTTCTCTGTTACCTTTCAGCTAGCTGCACTGCTAGCTCCAACTATCGCGATACTAGCGGTTCATACGAGATTTCCGCTGACGGACCATAAAAGGAAAGAGGACTTCCTGAGCTGGATTGAAACAGGGGTAGGTCCTTCCAGGGACCCCCTCATAAACTCCTGCTGTTTTAAAAGATATTTTACTGTCGTTTTAACCTCTAAATGCCGTGGTAATATATATTTTTATTGTTTATTATGTTTGTTTTATTAGTTCATTGTTCTCCATGCATTTTTTAAAATAATTTAGTGAAATTTTTTGAGGACCCCCAAGATACCTCTGACGGACCTCTGGGGGTCCTGGGACCCCAGTTTGAGAACTTCTGGTTTAAATGATTGCATCTTTACATGTTGTACCTGTGTGTGTG